GTGATTATCACACTATTGGGTCTATGTTTAATACTCAGTACACCAAGAGATCTCAAAGCCAATTGTATCAAGAGCTTTGTTTGGTGTGGGAAGAGCACCTGAATGCTGTAAACTGGGATCAGAGCTCACCTCTTTGGGTCAGAAACAATAAAAGAAGGGTGAAAGTCCAGCTGGGGTGGTGAACTCCTGCCCAGAGCCTGAGAGAGGCACGTGCTGGTGCCCTGCTCACCTGAGGTAATGCAGATCTGAGATCTCCTTCATGCAGAGCCAGCAGAACTCGCAGCCGCACACGGCGCACGTCATGTGGTTGCAGCTGCCATCGTTCATCTTGATGATGTAAGCACTGCAGCGCGGGCAAGGCTTGATGTCATCAGCTGAGGGGAGCAAACAGGGAATTCAGATGGCATGAAACAGGGAATTCAGATGGCATGAAACAGGGAAATTCAGATGGCATCTCTGCTCTCAGAGCCAACAATCAGCCAGGGGATCCTCACTGAGGACTGAAATCTTTGTTTGCTCTGCAGCAGAACACCTTTGCTGCTCTCAATAGGGGTGTGACTTTAATTCATCTAATTTTGATGTGACAGACCCCACCAACAGCAGGGACTGGGGAACAACAGCCACTTTTAAAAGCTTTGTTCTGATCTTGAATGGGATGTATTCCAGAATTCAGGCTTAAACACAAGGAACAAGTCATACCTGCCCAGCACAAGGAGCCATTATTGAATTGCTCCACGGAGGTGATTCATGGGCCAAGAACAACACAACAACTGGGAGAACAGGCACTGGAGAAACCCCAAACCTGGCCTAAATTTAGGGGACCAGGGGCTGCAGCCACGCACAACTCTGCTGCTGGCAGAGCAGGATAAGGGGTTTTCATCCCTTCCTTAATTCAGGCATCATCTGACCGTGGTTATGCAATGGCTGTGCCGTGGTTCAGGGCTCAGCAAGATGAAATCCAGCTGTGAGCCCAGCTCACACCTTATTAATCACCAGGCTGGATCCAGCACGGCGGGCTGGGGAGAAACCACTGTCTCAAAAACCTCCCTTCCCATGGCTAAATGCCCTTCCTGGCAGGGATCTTTTAACAGCACAGAAAATCTGGGTTTTTCTGCTGGCTGGGGTATTTCTATGCTGTCCATTCTGAGGGTTCTCTAAATTTGGGCATGTTGGACCTCAGCACACCACTAAGCCACCTCAGAACCACCCACGACAGCTCCACACTGTGAGTGAATTAATATTTAAACTCCTCACACAGAAGGAAAAACAGGGTATTTTGTTTGGGGGGTAGGGCAGGGCTTTAACAAACGGCCTCACTGCCCACTTCCAGAGTCAACACAGTTATTTTTAAGGAACACAAACTCAGCAGACACAGCAGCTCCTACCAGGCAGCGGAGGAGTTCTGTGGGCTGGCAATTTTTTGGTAGCTGCCATCAGCAAGGCCTAAGAGTGCACAGAGCAGAGCTCCCCACACTCAGCTGGCCACGAGTGCTGCTCTTCACCACCAGGCAGCTTCGAGGCTGCAACAGTAAAAAAGTGACTGCTTTTTCAGGGTTTAGATCAGCAAAAAAAGCGAGAACATCCAAGATCAAAAGAGCCACAAGCAGAGCTGGGGCGGATGAGGGGAGTTGCCGTGACACAAAAGGACCCAAAGCACATCATCACCTACTGATCTATTTGCTGCTGCTGCTGGAAGAGATCAGATGTGTTCTAACACACAGGAGGAGGGGAAATGACTCTGAGTTTCACAGCTGCTGGAGGACTTTGAGGGGAGGAGGTTTGCACGGTGGTGCTGCTTCCTCATCACACACACACAGAGCCAAGCAGCCGAAAAATCAGGGTGTGACTCTTGCAGGGCAAGGAGCTGGAGCCTGGTGGGTCTCTCTGAGCTTGGGATATTGCAAGAGCCTAAATGAGGGATGTGGGTTCTTCAAAATGCAGTTTATTACATCAAAGATGTCACAGCAGTCGAGGGTGGTGGGTGACAGAGCTGTGCCCACAGCTGTCAGCTCCAGCTGCAGGCAGACCTGGAGACCCTTTGGTTTTGGTTAAAAATGCATTCTGTACTTTTCTTTTGGTTACAATACATTATATACTTTTCCTTTGGTTACAAATGCATTATATACTTTTCCTTTGGTTACAAATGCATTATATACTTTACTTTTGGTTACAATGCATTCTATACTTTTCTTTTGGTTACAATGCATTTTATACTTTTCTTGTTGTTACACTGCATTATTTACTTTTCTTTGCTGAGCATCTTAATACAATAGAACCAATCTATACCTTAACTTTTATCCATAGCCTATCATAACCATTATAATTACCATATTCATGTTCCTGTTCTCCAATCACTAAAAGTTAGTACATTACAGTTTAAACTAGAAGATGTTTTTCAGTTTTCTTGCAGTGGAAAATTCTGAGACCTTTTTTCTACTTGCAACATTTGCTGACTTGTTTGCCTGTGCTATCTTTTTGCTTAGTAAAAATATATTTTTGTTTGGGGTGGGTTTATCCTTTGCTCTAAGCCATAAAAACCCATTCTGACTAACACACTCTTTCTCTCCTTGGTTATCCAGTAAGACTGGCAATTCTTTTCTTCTAGAGAAAAACTTGCTTTTATTTCTATTCCTTCTCCAGATTCCACACTCAAAAAATCCTTCTGCTAAGCATACACATCTGTGAGGCTTTCTGGTCAAACTTTCATCCTTCCCAAGGGGATATTTGATGAGGAAAGGGTGCATGCCTACCTGGCCCAGACTCCTGGCCGTAGCTGAGGCCCGAGGTGTGCTTGGTGCGGACGCGCAGGGTCTGTGCCCGCTGCTGCCGGGCCATGTCACACGTTTGGTTGGGGTGCCAGATCTGCTTGCAGTGGTAGCAGAACTCTGTCTGGCAGCCCTCCCTCTCACAGGTCAGCTTGGGGCAGCTGGCACAGCCGTAGGCGATCACTGCGTACCTGCGGGCAGGAATCGGAACACAACGTCACCAAGGGAAAGTCGCTTTTATGAAGTTACCAAAAGTGAGACTTGCTTTTATAAAGTTACCAAGTGAGACTTGCTTTTATAAAGTTACCAAAAGTGAGACTTGCTTTTATAAAGTTACCAAAAGTGAGAGTTGCTTTTCTAAAGTTCCCAAATGAGAGTTGCTTTTATAAAGTTACCAAATGAGAGTTGCTTTTCTAAAGTTCCCAAGTGAGAGAGATCCTTCGTTCACACACCCAGAGCCACCAGCCCATCTCATTCCCAGTCATCAACCTCCACACCAGACACATTCCTGCACTCTGCAGGGTCTGGAATTAAGCAGTGCTAATTGGGTTACTCAGGGCAGGGACCTTTCATGCAGGCAGCTTGAGATGCTGAGTTGTTCCCTGCTCAGTAGCTGCTGGCAGCTCTCACTGGCAGCTCGCACAGGGCAGATCTGTCTGGCCCAGTGTGCCCAGCTAACTCCTTGCTGTTTCCTTAGGACAGATCTATGGATGGTCCAAAAGAGTCTAGGAAAGCTGAGCTTGTCCTGGGCACTTTTATAAACTGAATGATCCTAAAAAAGCTCCAGAATAACAGTTCCATGTGTAGCTAAGTCAACTTAGAGCTTCCTTTTCCACAGAGTGGTGAAGAACAATGCCCTGCCTTTGGAACAAGCCAAAACTGGAGTGAAATAACCAACTGTGCAACTCAACCAGCTCAGTGTGGCACGCCCAGAAGGAAGTGTCCTGTGCACACAGAAGCCTAAGCAGCATCACCAAGCAGTGCTGCAGAAATCTGACTGACAGGCACTGAGGATGAGGCTGTTTCCATTGGCAGGGGCTGACATGAGCAATCCCAGAAGTGCCTGCAACACCCATATGGCAAAAAGGGTATTTTTGTTAGTGGTCAGAGGAGAACAACTCCTATTTAAGGTTTCATATTCAGAGCTTGTGCGGCTCCAGTTGTATTTTGCCTCTTCTTCTCCGAGGCAGCAGCGTGAGAACCACTGAATGTGTCATACCACAGTGATTCATATCCCGTGGGAGTTTGAGCAACTTCATCCTGCCAGGCTACGACAGCATCGCCAGAGAAACAACAGCTGAGGGCTGCCAGGCACGACTGCAGCTCTACCTGGGCATCCACACACCTGCCCTGAGCCCAGCAGGAGCAGAGATGGGAAAACTCCATCCCTGGAACTGTCCCAGCCCATGACTGGATGAATTTTAAGGTCCATTCCAAGCCAAACTTGTTCCTATATAATTCTGTTCCTATATAATTTTGTGATGGAAATGATCCAGAGGGTTGGGAGGGATAAATTTGATTCCTGTGCACCTATCCCACTAAATTTCTTCACCCTGCCACTACCCCCTGGCCTGCCCTTGGCAGTTCATTCAGCCCATAACTGGATGAATTTTAAGGTCACTTCCAACCCAAACAACTCTGTTCCTATATAATTCTGTGATGGAAATGATCCAGAGGGTTGGAAGGGAAGAATTTGATTCCTATGCAACTTATCTAAGGAATATCCCACTAAATTTCTTCACCCTGCCACTACCCCCTGGCCTGCCCTTGGCAATTCATTCAGCCCATGAGTGGATGAATTTTAAGGTCCCTTCCACCCCAAACCACTCTATTTTCCTATATGATAATTCTGTAATGGAAACGACTCAGGGGTTGGGAGGGAAGAATTTGATTCCTGTGCAACTTATCTAAGGAATATCCCACTAAATTTCTTCACCCTGCCACTACCCCCTGGCCTGCCCTTGGCAATTTATTCAGCCCATGAGTGGATGAATTTTAAGTTCACTTCCAACCCAGACCACTCTGTTCCTGTATAATTCTGTTCCTGTATAATTCTGTGATGGAAATGACCCAGAGGGTTGGGAGGGATGAATTCGATTCCTGTGCAACTTATCTAAGGAATATCCCACTAAATTTCCTCACCCTGGCCTGCCCTTGGCAAAACAGAAAGGAAAAGCTTCATGTGCCCAGCTGTGTTGTGACACTGCTATTTCAAACCATTAACAGCAGCCTAGGAGAGCTCAGTGTAATATATTAAGCACACTCCAAATTAACTCCTCGCTCAAAATGTTGGGGTTTTTTTAAACACTCAAGAAATTCAAATCATCAGCATTTATATTTTATTGCTGGAGCTGAAATATCATGCACAAGGCCACAGCTGTGGGGAAAGAAGCTCCAGGAGTGTCTAGTGGGGATGGAAATAACACATCTCCATGTCAAGGTCAACTAGAAAGTGGGTTTGGAAGTGAAATGATGAGGAATAGACATGGCAGGACCTGGATGGACAGGGGTTCTCCTCTTCCACTGGCTTAAATGGCCATTTTTATGCTCAATCCTTTTAGATAAGATGAGAAATTGAGTTCTCCTCCCTGAGTTTTCCCCACAAAGCAACGTGAGTGTCTTCCTGAGACCCCAGGAATGGCACAGCTCCATTTCCAGCCCCCTCCTTGCATGGCCACGAGTTTCCTGCGTCCCTCCTCCTGCCCATTCACGGATCTCAGCCCACACACCTCCGTTTTCTTTAAAGGTTTGTTTTTCTCCCAAGCTTTTGGGGAAGGCTGCAGTGTGACAAACACTAGACAGCGATACCACCTGATTGTAGCAAGGGGGGGGAAAAAAACCACAAAAAACCAGAGCTGCAAACACAGAAAATGATTTGTTTTGCCATTGATGGCGCATCAATTGACCAGGGTTTCCATGGCAACACGCACCGGTGTTGTGTTGTCCTCCTCCTCCTCCTCGCGGGCAGCACAGCCAGGCTCTTTCATTTAGGAAATGATGCAGGAGGAAGGCACAGGATGTTTTTAGGGTCCTGTCACAGCCCTGCAGCCCCTTGATGCTGCCACATCAGGGGGGTGACCACCCAATGCCACCCCAGCCCTTGTGGGGTGCCTCTGTGGCATTGGAAATTATTTTAGCAAAATTATTTTAGCAAAAACTTTGAGCATTTTTGTTGTAAGTTCGCTCAGGGGTTTTGTTTGCCTTTGCCCAGGGGGAGGGGAATTAAAGTTTCTCTTCAAAAGCCGGGGGAGCTGAACATCAACAGATTGAGAGGAGCCAGGAGGAACAGAGGAAATAAAGGGACATCAACAAACATCACCCCCTGATGAGGCTGGAGACACCTGGTCTGGGGAAAGATCGATAAGAGAACCAAAGAATGAGGTCTGAATTAGCATCGAAGGGATCAATAGCCAATAGGAGATGGAATCATTGCGGAATTGTGAATTTCTTTGAAGGTTTTAATGGGGAAATGTCTGGTAAAGAACCAGGTGGGATGGAAGGATTCTCACTGCACAAGCCAGGCATGTGTGGAGGAAATGATTTCTGCTGCACATCCTGGCCGGAATAAAGGAATGCCTCGATTCTCTGACACTGAAATGACGCCGCTGGCCAGTTTCAGTTGGGGTGACAGCAGTGGGTGACATCCATACCAAACATCGCTGCCGTGCCCCCAGCCCTACACTCCGTACTACTCCGGCACTACTACAGCGGGGAAAGCCCGCTGTAAATAATTCATACCCTGATTTTACATAAGCACAGCCACACAAGCTCTGCTGGGAAGAATGAATAGGGTGATTAATTCCTCTCCCTGCCGGAGGGCTGATTCCAACAGCCTTTGTTCGAGCTGCTACAGACACACCAGCAGCGCCGGTCCACCAGAGCTGTCTCCAACATCTCCAACAGCCCCGGGGTCGCTTCTTGCTCTTCTGGGCAGCTGGAGGAGGATGCCAGCATGTCACCCTGCTCTCTGAGGAACCAGGGAGGAGGGTTTAGCTCAGAGAAAGAGCCGAGTGTGGCACCAGCCTGGCCAAACCCCCCCAGAGGAAGGGATGGAAGGGATGGAAGGGATGGAAGGGATCAGGCTGCGTTGCTGTCACTGAGGCAACGCCCTGGAGCTGGTTCCTTCCAAGCAGCCAGCCCGGGTGACGCCGCTGTTTGTGCACCTTATCCTGGGCACAGATAACATCACAACACTCAAGGAGCCGAGATTCGGTGAGCAGGAACCGGATTTTCTCCAGCCGGTCACCAGCAAAGATTCTCTCGGTGGCTGCTCTATGTCCCTGATCTTATCCCCAGCGCTGCTGAAATATCGAGATCTTGCACTTGATTTGGCTTCAGAAAGGAGCAAAGGTGTTGTTTGCTGTTAAATTCACCCTCTGAAGGAAAAACCTTCATACAGGATGCTCGAGAGGCCGTGAAATGGGTAACCTGAGCCAGGTTCACTGATTTGCATAGGATGCCTATTACAAGGCTCTGATTAAATCTTCACAATCCTCCCACCAACTTTTCCATTCCGACTACTAGGTCAGACTTTCCTTTCATGTTCTTGCTACCCAAAATTGCCATCCAAGCTGAATCGTAACTCAACTTCACAGCACTTCTCTTAAGTTCCCCGACCAAGCCCTTTTCCAGGCAGCTTTGGCTCACGCCCCAAACAGAAACCTAACAGAGCTCGTTTAAAAGAAAAGGGAAGAGAAAATGAAAGCAACACGTTCATAACTACACAGTCATCAGGCTTGGCTGGGCTGACTTCTGGACAGACAGACGTTTCCTCACTTGGGCAGCGGACAGTGAGTCAACATCACTTCTCTGTGTTGTGTATTCCTGTCCTCACTGGGAAAAAGTGACTGGTTACTGTTCCTTCTTCCCCACCGCTGGAGGCTGCAGTGTTGTCCCCATGCACTGTCCCCAGGACTGGCAGAGAAATGCGCAGCTGGGAAAGTCCACACTTACCATTTGTGCAGGAAAAAAGGTTTCTGTTCTATTAGGGAAGCGGTGGCTCTGCTAAAACCCCCTTCAAGTCATATCACTCCTACCCAATCTGTGTTTTCACAATCCCAAGGTCAAACCCTGGAGCTCTTGCGAGATAATGGGGATAAGATGGAATTTTGGTACCCAAGGCCTCTCAGGTGTCCTGAACACACTGCAGATAAGCAAAGAACCTCTGTGGTGAGGGCTCTTCATGGGACAA